TACGTAGTAAAAATTATGAATAAATGTAAAAGTGATCGGTGATTGGTTACTTAGTTCCCCGTTGCTTAATTTAATGGTTGGGCTTTGTTGTTTCGTATTATATTATACTACGTACTATAGTAAACAAACGGCCTTGAGTTGCCAGCTGTCTCCAGCAGTGTTCGAAGAATCTTAAGCGAGACTATATGTACTGTTTAGAAACCGACCTATACTGTACATCTTGCCGTTCAGTATACAGGGTACTAATTAACCCCCGCTGTCTTGTTAAGATGTAAGAAAAGTCTTGACGAAATTAGTGACACTATAGAAACACCAGTGTGTGTGTGTGCGTTTCGTAATGGAACATGATCAGCGAACACAAAAGCGTCGGTGGGTATTTACGTGGGCAGAAAGAACATGAACCTTAATGAGCTGTACGTCAACAGGTTAATCCCGCTGATTATAGGGGAAAAAATCAACAATCCCTTATGGAAAAGTGTGGTGGTATCTTCTTCACCTCTGGAAATACACTGTAATACTGTCTGCTGGAGCCACGAGTGATTAACCCACAAGACGCTTATATAATAAATCATTATATGGGGAAATGTAAGTCGTCAGTAAGTGATATAATTTAATTAACTAATCTCAAAACCACATGCTGCATCCACGACCACATCAAATGCACAAGTAAATTTAAAACGATTCTATCAAAGAAAGGGCCTGGGTGTTGATTACAATTGTTTACTGAAAAAATCGTCAAATGTAGCGGACGAACTGCCAACATCAGTAGTTTCTATCAGTAATATATATATGTATATATATATATATATATATATATATATATATATATATATATATATATATATATATATATATATATATATAACAGAGAGACTTAACTATACAGACCTTATAGTCCATGACCTCTGAAGATGTCTTTAATAAAGACGAAAGCTAAGGTCTCCATTGTTTCTTTTCCCGTGTGATTTTATCAAGATTTAATCCACGTTTTCATTGTGGATCTACATGAATATATATATATATATATATATATATATATATATATATATATATATATATATATATATATATATATATATATACACCCCTGTATTTAACGAAGAGGAGAACCATTGAAAACACAAACATCTTGACTTAAGTTGTGTTTCTTTAATTACTAACGTTTCGGAAAATCATTTTCCACCATCAGTCTAGAAAACGGACAAAAAGTTTGAAAAATTACAGGTAATATACAATGAAAACGAAACCTTATCCAAAAATTTACCTTCCGCCATATTTTTAAGAGCATTATAATTTAATACCAATAAAAATGACGGGAAACCTACGTACAAAACTAAAATCAGAAAAAAAATCATGTTGCCTTACCTTAATTGAGACGACCGTTAGTGAGAAAAACACAACAATTCACAGGAAGCCATATCACAAATGGTTGACTTTACTTTGTAGTGATACAAAGCTTCCATTATGAGGAGGTCCGTCTCACAGTTGCTCCTGCTAGGAACTGAGAAATCAGACTGCGAAAACGTGTGGTCATGTTGGTGGGCGTGGTTACATATAGTTGAATGTGGTGGTTGTGTGATTAACTGGCCTGTTCGAACGGAACGGCCCAAGTGCTCATGGATGTGAGTTAACAAGTGTCGTTTTGTTTACCCAAGGTCAATATATTGACCTATATATGCTGCCCTACAGCTAGCACACGTAAATTGACAAACAAGTGACGGTGAAACAACTAAGGATTGCAAGTGTGTGGGTAATATATATATATATATATATATATATATATATATATATATATATATATATATATATATATATATATATATATATATATATATATGTGTGTGTGTGTGTGTGTGTGTGTTTACAATTGGTTTGGCATGTATATCGATTATACTGGCATGCAGTTCAACATGAATATAGACAATATACGCACTGTATACGGTGTAGAAAGACGTACAGGTACAGTATAACAAGACTAACCGTGTACGGATGTAGTAGCGTATGACGTTTAATATCACAAAAATATCTGTAGCTTTCGCCCCCTAGGCCCTGATGTGGGTCAGTGACTTGTGCTCGGGTGGGCTAATCCCCGTAAAAAAAAAGCTACCGCTTCCTTGTAGCCAAGTGTGATATCCAATTTTATCGTTGTTCTAACCGTTCTTTTTCCCGAGTTTCAGAACAGATGGTTCACGGTAATATTTCTGAGGATCAGCCTCCCTCATATTGTAATGGTACAGCCTCACATGGGAATTCTCAGAGATTTGTGCATTATCCTTTTTTTTCCTAGACTGAGCAACACTATGTATCTAGTTACGATAAAACCTCGGCATTATTGATGACATATCCGGTGTAGGTTTTAGTCTTTGATTGGGCCAGATTGTTAATATTTTCACTTATTCAGTTAGTGTGTGTGTGTGTGGGGGGAGTGGGGGGGGGGGCATTTGTAACTGAGAACTTTAAAAATCGGAGACCCGGCTTTTGGGCACCTGTATTAAGTTCGACCAAGAGTGCTGAGTACAATAATGATCCTTAGAAATTAGGTTAGGTTACTTTGAAGACGTTTTGTTAGGACTGACTTGGTTAGGATACACACAACTGATCCCAGCTACTGATCCCGTGTCTGGATGGAGTTGTCATGAGGGATATGGAGAGATAAAAGTGGTCAAGCTTAGTCGAGAGATCTTTTGTATTTAGTTTTCTGCTATACTTAATAATGTGAAAGTAAGTCCCATAAGCTTGAAAACATTTGGTAACCCTAATGAGATCTACAGTATATTGTTGTGCCCTCAGATATCAACCAGCACACACCCACACTCACTCCAAAAGCATTAGGCGACTCATGCGATCGGAGAAAGAATTTGGAAAGAACTTCTAGAAAATACAAGCAACTAAATTTATGAGAGCATCCGTTAATGCCTTCCATTAGTTTGAAATGAATCAACTCCGAGTCGATTGAAAAAAAAAAACGAAGGGGCAGGTAGTTTTAAGGTAATAATCAAACAGGTCTGAATGGTTTGGCACAGTTTTGTATAGGGATGAATTAATTGTACTGTACGTGTCACAGACAATAGTCAGTCTACCCAAGATTGATAAAATAAGTAGTTCATGGGGGAGTAATTTGTCATTAGCTGCTCTTAAGATCTGATATCCTTCGTCTTTTGTTTAAGGCCAAAGACGTTCTTATTCTACTACTACTACTACTACTACTGTATACTACTACTTTTTTCTTTTTTTTTGCCTTCAACCTCCCTTTATAGCCACATCTCCACACATTTTATAACCTATCCTAATAATACTACTGTACTCCTACTAATAGTAATAAAACCACAAAGGTGGTTAAAATGCATTAGTTTTGATTCCTTCTAAAGATGATAAACAAAAATGAACACGATGTAATAACAAATGATATCAACAATTAGTTCATTCTCAGATTGTAATGGATATATATATATATATATATATATATATATGCAAATAAATCACTGTAGGTGCGCGTGATCCAGGTATATGCTGATAACCACAAGGAAAAAGAAAACACGAAGCAGCGAGGTTTAATTATCCTCACTGCTGTTACTGGATGCTATTGTAAAACAGTAAGATTAATTACTGCAGCTCGTTGAAATACATAAGACTAGGATTAACCCGTGTTAGTTGATATTACATACTGTACCACTAGAATTAACTCATATACAGTTTATACACCTGTATATATATATATATATATATATATATATATATATATATATATATATATATATATATATATATATATATATATATATATATATATATATATATATATATATATATATATATATATATATATATATATATATATATATATATATATATATATATATATATATATATATATATATATTCTTGTTAGTTGAAATAGATATAAATGAGAGTACGTCTTTCAAACAAATACAAATGAATAGCGAAATTTATGTTAGATTAGGTTTGTTTGTTAGGTTGGATTAAGATAGGTGTTAGGAGCATCAACATAGCTATAGTGTTGTATTTTGTACTGTATATGAGTCATCCTGTACATACTAACCTGACTGCCATTTCCGATTTGTTGTGCATAATATTAACAAGCATTCTCATTTAAAATTTTAACTCCCCTTCCCCACCCCAAACGCGGGCGAAGGAATATATGAATCAGGATGTCTCTCGTCAGTCTGTCTGTCTGTCTGTGAGTAAAAATTAATTGTTTTTAAAGCACATGAATGAGTAATGTGTTTAAACCAAGATAAAATCCCCGACTTTTGGTTCAGTCAGTCATGGTGAATAGAAGATAAATGACCAGTGTGAAAATAATAACGCATCAGAAAAAGCAGTTAGAGTTTAGAGGAAAGTTTAAAGATTGTAAAAGTATATTTAACACATCTGACCCCCCCCCCCCCTTGTGTTGCTTTCTTGCATGTCTTGCTAGGGGTGAAGTCAGCAACTGATGAGATTTTAGTACACAACACAGTGCTTATGGTACACTGTGTTTGTTGTTATGATAGACTTGTGTTTGTTCTTAATGTGCTGCAGGTTGTTTTTGTTCTGCTTCTACAGGTTGTTCCTCGTGAAGATTACAGCATAGGAGTTGTTCTTAGTTATCACCTAAGCCACTGTTAGTCCCAAAAGTTCAGTGGGTATCTCAGAGAGTCAGTATTCGTTCCTCACAGAGATTCGGTGTTCACAAAATCTTCATGAAAAAGTTTTAGTGTTCACCACGAAAACCCTCTATATTCATTACAGACCAAGTGTTCACCACAGACTAAGTGCTCACCCCAGAGACTCAGAGTTCATATACTGTTCATTCCAAAGACTCGGTGTTCAACATAGAGTACAGAAAGTACTCAACACAGATTGTTCAACCAGACTCAGTGCTCACACACTGCTCAATACAGAGAATCAGTGTCCACCCTAGACTCAATGTTCAACACAGAGACTCCAGTACTGTAAGTGTTCAATGCAGAAAGACAAATTTTCAAGATAGTACTCACCATCAGGACGGAGATTGTGGAGAGGCGACGAGCTGGGAAGTAGCAGGCGAAGGGCAGCTGGTGGATGGGAAGCAGCGTTAGTTGCGGAGGGCAGAAGGGCGAGGGTGCAGCTCAACAGGAGGCACAGCGACAGGAGGCGGGGAGCGACGGCCGGTGCTGTACGGGAGGCCAACATTTCGCTGACAAGAGAGTGAGTCGTCCCCACCTCTCTCACACAGTCTTATAAACGCACGCTCCGCCCCCTCCTACATACATCCCGCCCACACACACGCCTTGCCACGCCCCCACACAGCTACGCCTCTTCTACTCTTCTACACACCACCCCCACACACCAGCTGGAGCCACGCCCATGCACGCCCCCAGTCACGCTTACTGAGAACTAGTGGACACAGACGTAGAATGAACGGCTTCAGACGATCCAGAACTAGTCCATCAAGCGTCCCCTGACGGGCACAAGATGACTCCGGTTCTCAGAGATTTCTATGTCCATTTTTCTCTTGATGTACGATACCATTCACAAGAGAACGCATCTGTTTTACAGGAATATCGGTGCAGTGTGCATGCCTCATTGACACGTGTCCTCGTGGCGTAGCTTAACCGAACCACTTAGATATGTGCTTATATTTCCAGTTAGTGGAACGATTAAACGTGCCAACCTTTGAGAATTCTGACCCAAATATGTTTAGCTTCCCCCCAGAAACACCTTTTCTGACCTGTATGATGGATGTCTTACGCACGAGATTTTTATTTTTATTCAAGTACTGTACAGCTTAACGCAGCCAATAGCCAATATTAATTCACCAATTTTTTTTATATGTAACCTCTCAACAGTTCTATTACCCCCGTCTCTTTAGCAGAGGTCATTACACCCGCGAGGTTTCTGTTCCTGTGCAAACATTACTACAACACACACTGCCACTACATACTACCACTACACTGTTAAAACACTCTATCACCACTTGGCTCCCATGCATTATCACCTTTCACTACCACCATGCACTATATACTACACACTACTACCATACACTATCACCACAATATTACCATCCACTATCACCACAATATCACTATCCACTATCACCACACTACCACCACATACTAAACTATACACTACGACCACACTTCATTAACACCTCATTCTGTCACTCACACTATCACCAGTCTACCACACACACAATCACCATATGCTATCACCCCCACATTTATCACCACACACACACACACACATTTTCACGACACACATTTATTACCACATACACTTACCACCACACACACACTTGTTGCCACACACACACACACACACACACAATCACTATTCACACTTATGACTGCACACACTTATCACCGCACACACACACACACTTGTCGCCACAAACACACACTTATCATTACATGCACTATCACCTCACACACTTATCACTATACGCACTATCACCACAAACACTTGTTACTACATGCACTATCACCACACACACACACACACACATATATATCACCTTACACACTCACACACACTATCACCATGTACTATCTCCACACACACACACTATTACCACACTAGAGTCCATTTGATAGTTTGTGGCCCTGGGTTCGTTTGATGTCCCTGTGTGCCCAAGGGCGGATCCAGGGGGGTCCTGGGGGTTCGGACTATCTCTTTTCTTCAGAAAATTACAATAGTTTTTCTTTAATGCAGTATTGTACTCAGGCATTTTTGTATAGTAAAAAGTAATTACTGTTGACCTCAGAATATCTCTAATATCAGGTGCACATGGCTTCAAATTGGCCTCAAAATGCCCAATGATATTGGTCAGATTTCCCCAAAATTTCTGAGGGGGGGCTTACAGCGCTCCCACAAAACTCCCCAGCAAAGAGTGAGTTCGCTTTGCTCGCCATGTTCCCCCACCCAAAACTTCTTGGACGCCCCATTTTGATATTACTGGATCCGCCCCTGGTACCCCGTGAATCTATTTAATAATCTGACATGAGAAATATTAAAATATAAGTCATACAGCCATTGAGAATGACTGAGCAGTGCCCCCTAGTGTCTGTGGCTTCATAACTTCCAAGAAACAGATGGATAGTCGGCGTGGATGACGATAATACCCATCAGCCAACATCCAGTCTTTGGGGTGAAAGGTGTATTGATACAGTATTCTTGTGCTACTTACTTGCAAATTTTCTTTTGATGAAACTGTATCTGAAGCTTAAACATTAACTGTTTACTTAAGGCCAGACAAGTTGCTTCAGTTAAAGAATCTGGGAGGGAGGGTGAGTTTGTAGAGTTGTCATACATAAAATGACGGTACAGTATCTCAGTTATTTTTATTTTTTTGGTTTATCTCGGGTTTACTATGAAAGATATTTGAAATAATAATGTGATTTAACTTATTACTTTGAGGGGGAGGGGGGGGGTGTCTCATTTAATCCTTTCGTTGTTCCTCAAGAAAACCTGTGATGCTTTTAGTAGGGTCAGTGGAGAGCACCCTGGGATTGAACTAGGACGCATGTGGGAAACGTACTATAATAATCTTAGGCAAAATGACCCTTCTTTTGGGAGCTTCAAGTCAGGTCCTGTAAATGTGTGGTTCCTGCTACACCTTGAAGATGACCAAACTGACACCAAAATAGATTGATATGGCTTGAAGATGAAGAAAAAAAACAAAATAAGAGGGAAAAAAGACATAAAAAAAGAAGGATTAAGTAGAAGCTGCTTGGCTTTTATATATTTATTTTTTTGTACGTTTGACAATAAATTTTATCACAAAGTAAACTAATTTTTTTTAAAGGCTCAGCTGCAATTATTGGTAGAATTAATTGCTGGGTACGAGACTACGAGTAAAGGTTATACAGGGGGTCCTCGACTTACAAACGCCCGCCGATACAAATGGGGTTAAACTTAAAATTTACAGTATTTTATTTACCCGATGACTTATTTTTTACCTTCATTTACTATATTATGTCATCCTATTTCTTCTTTTGTCTTAAATTATATTAAATATGTATAAGTACTTAGGCTATGATATATTGGGATTTTAAACATTGTTCTGTATGGTATGCGCATAGCATGTGCTCCAACTTACTTACAAATCCGACTTAAGAACGTCCTCAGAAACGGAACCCGTTCGTAACCTGGGGACCCCCTGTACAGTACAGTAAACTCTCGAAGATCCGGACCCAGGAAACTTGGATTTCGGAAGATCCGGACAAAAAAATTGGTGGTTCTAGGCTACGAAGCCTCCTAGAAGTTTCCCTAAGAAACATTCCCAAACCAGAGCAAAGAACATTTTAGGCCCATGGGCATTGCTTGACCCGTCAGTTGCTTGGACACAGGAGCCTGAGGAGGTGGGAAACATAAACAGAATTGACAATTGTTGTTTGTGGGAATATTACTTAATTCACTCTAGTTATGATACAATGTTTCTTATTTTGTTATCATAGGTAAATGCATTGTTTATATACAGTAATTTGTTTATCACTACATTAGTACTGTGTTTTTGGTGTATCTTATATCATTTACTTTTCGCAGGAAAATCCGGACAATCGGCTTTTCCGGACAGGTGGTCCGGATCTTTGAGGGTTGACTGTATTAAACACCTAAGGAGAGTGATAAACTAGTGATATTTAAAATTTTCAAATTGTATTTATTTTTTTTCTAAAAATTCTTACATACAGTAACGTAATATCAACTTCCTTTATTCATCATTATAAAATGTACATCATTTGCTGTCTATTACAAGAAGTTTCATTGTTAAGCTTCACCTATTTTTAAAAGATCAACAGATTTATGACTATTGTTTTCATTTTAACCAACATTCATACATCAAATTTTATACTCCCACTACAAAAGGGCATATCTGATATTTTAGTTTTTTTTTCAGTTACAGAGAAATTTGTTTTTCTCACAGCCTTAAAAGCTGCAGTTGGTCCCCTTTCACTTGTAATTTTTAAACTTAGATGATATACTGAGTCTGCCAGACCAAAGAACTCCTTTTTCTTTATTTTTGCTCGAAATTGTCAGTTGTGCCCTTTTGTTGCAGGAAGGCAAGATGACGTAAACATAAGGAGACAACGGGGCACCCATAATGATTGTACAACTTTCTTGAGTTCACCAAAACTGTTCACATTTGAAAAAACTTTCCTTATATTTTTCTTGAAAATAAACATTACAAAAGGAAAAAATAATGAGCCACAGGAATCCAATTATACAGAACAACGCCAATTCTTCACCGGTCACTCTGGGAGACATTAATGAGATCCTTGACAACTAAACACACAATAGCTCTTCACTCTAGGCTTATTTTTTTTAAAGAGTTACTATACTTCCTATGTGGGTCCATTTTTACACATCTTGATACATTAGCAGGAAATCCTAAGCTAAAAAAGACTGCTAAGAATATCCACATTCACAGTTTAACACACATGTGAACAATGAGAAGCATAATGTTCACATACACCGTCTATAAAACACAAGTGAACAATGATATGCAAAATTTTTTCATTGGTACAACATATCATTACAAGACCAGTACTGTAGTATGAGCTCGCTCTCTCTCTCTCTCTCTCTCTCTCTCTCTCTCTCTCTCTCTCACACACACACACACACACACACATATGCACACACACACAAAATGCCTCTTACATTAATACAGTATAAAAGTCTTTCATAAAATCCCTGTAAAGGGGCACAATCGTATGAGTAAGATGTAACGATAACTCTTTTGTTTTTATTTATATAACTTAATTAAATCACCCAATACATGGCTAAAAATTGTTTCGTTTAAGGCGTTATTTACCATCATAACCAAACAATGCGTAAATTAGATTAAGTGAGGTTAAGTTAGATTTGGTTAGGCTAGGTTAGTACTGGTGATGTTATTTGTCTATTGTTTGTAATATGATTATCTACAGGATCGTCTGAATATACCAACTACATTACCTCCAAACTTTAAATAAAAATAAAAATATTATATACAAAGGTTAACACTTACAGTTGGTCTTGCAATTACACTGTACAGTACCTGTATCACTATTTAGCAGGAAATATACAGTCTACAGAATATATATTGTACAGAAATGTCATTCACTTTTCCAGGCCCTTTCCTTATAGAGTGAATCAACCTTTGAAACAAATATTCCTAAGAAACAATTAACATTTCTGCATGAGGTTAGATCAATTACTGTACAAATTCAG